ATCGATACGCGTTATTAATCATTGATCTAGTGGTATTAAGTGGATTCTCTCTTCGTAAATCTAGAGCTAATTACTCAAAATCTGCCTTTCCCCAAATCGAATTTAGTTTCAATAATAATGATCGTTCCAAATTTAACACTTCTGCAGCCTTCGTTTTAATTTGTTTATCTTTCCTTCCGGCAATAAACTATAACGCGTTACTCGTGTCTACAAAAATTCAAAATTAAGCGTAGGTGTTGCACCTTGAGAGCAAAGTCTTAATATTATAACAAACAAACGAGAAATGTTTTCTATTTTCCTGTTTCTGACTAATAGAACAACTGGAATTAACGACAAACACGGGAAAACTGATACAGTGTGTGTGTATAGGCTATACAGGACGATTCAAAAGTCAGTTAACAGGAAGACTAAATGGCAACTCGTTTATTCTAAATTCGGATCACGATTTTACACTCACACCTATCTGGAATCAGGAACCGATCCAGAGAGAACGACTGCACCATAATATATTTTATTAAGAACAGGAGCTTCATTATTAAAACAATCGTTATATTCCGTCAACATAAAACATGGTTAACTGACTTTCGAACCATCTTGTAATCACTTTCATGTATTATCACGCGTATTCCTGTATCGGGTGTGCAGTACGTCCCTCAATCTTCAGGCCTCTACATTATAAATAATGTATATCTATATTGATACACAAACACAGCAAAAACTTGCTCAGCATACTCGTTAATCGCATTAAATAATTCTTAATACAAATTCTGTGCGTTGCAGATATTAATTAATCCGACACAGACGAACGAGTCAGGTACAATAGACGTGTATGTGTTTAAATACGATTAAGATACAGAGTAATACAAATCATTTAAAAAAAACACACACACACACACACAATTACAACCGAACATCAAAAGCTCTGTGAGCAACACAAGAAAGACACGTGTTTGTAAGCATCCACGTATATGCTAATTAAACTTACAAGCGGGCAAGCCCCATTTTTTATAACCTTTCACGCACAAGAACATAATTTACGAGTTTTCCACGTTTAAAATGTATTACGTAACACTAAAAATATGCCGTTTCATAAAACCGAATTAAAGTTTTGCGGTAGGAAAGGCATTTTTATCTACCATTTCTCATGAGTTCATGTTAAATCTCGATTTAGTAATTAGTTACTGCAACTCTCTATGTATGTTACTCACACAGATTAAAAAAAAAAAACTACTAACTACGCTTCTAGTACTTAAAACACAAGCTTATAATACGCAGGCATGTGTTAAGTAACCTTGCAACACAAAGAAATCGTCCCCCTCCGAAAAAAAAAAAAAAAATTAAAAATCGTTGTAGCAGAGCAGGAGCTAGCTTCTAATAAACTCTGACGTACAGGCTGTTAAGGTCAAATCCTGTACCGAAGTACTGAAGGAAGATTACAGACTAATAATAGTGGCCGGCGTGCTTTTGTTTAGCATCACTACAACAGCAATAACGAATCAGAAACTTAGTTAAGTCGCACATGAGCTGTGCTTTTAGTTAACAATTCTTAAACACGTGAAAATTCATTCGTAGTATAGTTCAAGGTGTTTAGAGAAGGTTAATCTGCATTTATGAGATTGCTAATGCAATCCGAAGCCATAAAATGTTACTTTAAAAGTCGATACGTATCCTTACACAACAGCGAAACTTTACGACTAATTAATAATTTCTAATTAGAGCAAAAAAAAAAAATAATAATAATTTTCTAGGTACTTCAGATTGGAATTCTTATCACGTTTCCAGCTAGCAAAAATACATATTTATGTATATATAAATACATACGTTCCAATCGAGTAAACGAATCAAAAATTCCAGAATTAGGAGGTCGAATGCACATCTCTTAACGAGTCGGTAAAGTGTTTTTCTTTTTAAAAAAAAACAAACAATTAAAAAAGCAGAATAAAGAATCCCAGATGCGATCTAACGAGTACGAGATAAAAGTTATAATAGGATAGCTAATAATTTCTAACCATTACGAAAACAGGAAGGACCGGGTTGTCCGTGGCATAAAACAATTCCTAAATGTTCAGTTTCCAAGACCCTGTTTAGTATATGTCTAATTAAAGTCTATGATTCGGAGCTTAAGCTTTAATTAACTGGCAGTTAAAACGAGTTAGAAAATTCTTACAACAGCGAAATGCTTGACATGATCCTGCAACACATCTCCAGTGTCTGTAGCTTACATGCAATGTGCCATTGGTGCTCTGTTACAGATTGCCAACCTGTTGCAAATTTCTAGTGTTTTTTTTTTTATCAAGCAAATTAATTTGGTTGTTAAAGCAAAGATATATATATATATATATATATAGGCCTATATATACGAAATATAGGCCCTATATCAGTTGAAATTACAAGAAAGTTTCGAGAGTGTGTAATAAAATATTTATTGTTTCCTTTCAGAATTGATTAACTCTTAAACTTTGTATCAAAGAGAGAAGATTAAACTCGACCCGATCGATACGACCTTAATGAATGCGATCTCGATTAAACCCCGTTTATATCAATAAAAAAAATATATAAAAAAACTAATAACATGCCTTGAAAATAATCGATTTTCGAAGCGCAACAACGAGTGTTACCTCGCTGTTGCGTTTTAAAAGTCGTATCGAGTTCATCAGTTTTCTAAAAAAAAAAAAAAATATGAATCAGTTCACTTTTTAGACTCGCTGTAAAAGCGAGGTTTCGGCGTTATTACGCTATAAATAAAAGCTACGCTGAAATAACACTAATAAGGAAAAATAACTTCGTTTCTTACTCTATAAACGACGTACTTAAAGCGAAACCTCGTTATTGCGCTACCAATCTGTAAGCGAAATCGCATCGGTTGTTACAAACGAAATAGATCATACAGAAAAAATATTTCTTATTAAAGGTAAAAAAGAAAAACGATTTAGTTAAATCACAAACAAAACTTCGTTATAACGCTAAGCAATTCGCGAAACTCTATAAATTTCGGTATTCGTCTCTTACTGGAACAGCCATAATTTTTTTAAAGCGATTCCAATAGGCCAATTACTAAATAGCGTGCATCCTACAATTTAGCGTGATGAAAATCTCCTTTGTTAAAGAAACGTTATATATTAAACACCCTTATTTAACTTCTCCCTTCTATATAATCACAACGGAGGAAAAAATCAAACCCATTTACCCGCATACAACGCAATTCATTCCCGAACTTTTCCTGATTAAACACTGATAAACTGAGACAGACTTATAGTAGTAGTAGACTACTTTATAACAAAACCTCGATTTTACGAAAACTTCAGCTTACAAAGAGTAAATCCTAAAGAGATATTCAAGCATCCATATGCCTTTTTTTACACATAGATTACCTTACAAAAATCCATCGTAAGGCAAGGGGAAAAAAGAGCATTTCATACAGCACGTAGATAAGGATACAGACCAGCAATCACATGCACTCACCCGAAACTCGATGCATGCAGAGTATTATTATTATTATTAGTCTTATTTCCAGATGAAGATCCATACAAACAGTTAAAAGCAAAGGCCGATGTGGATATTTCCCAATAAGATAATTTGATTTCATCACGGAAACTGAAATCCGTGCGATCAATCATTTGGCATAAACCTGTCTTAAAAAGGGGGGATTATTCAAATGTTCGATGGTGACGCCTATTGAAAACGCGATTTAACGTAACGAACATTAAAAAAACCTCGTTATTACGTCAAAAAAAAACTAATTACACAAGTAGAACTTCGTCATTACGCTGGAAGAAATTGAAACTACGAGCAAAGCCGACAATTCGGTTGACTGAAAGCATAAATATATTAACGCTTTAACGAGGTGTTAAAGGGACGAAACCTTATATAATAACGCATGCAAGACTTTAAGGAAACAAGAGAGACGTAGAACATACGGAAAAATACCCTAAAAATTTAACAATTTACCTTGGATGGTAAGTTTTCTTCTTCTTCGTGTAGCATCTAATCATTAACTGCTTCAAGTAAATTACACAATGCTTCCAACTTCTCGAACCCAGTTTAGATCTTTGAAACGATTAATCGTGTAATTAATTCTTTGAAAAATTACACAAAAAAAGCCATTGTAAAAAGAAACAAACGTCGAGTGAAAAACCTTAAATTACGTTTTATTTGCATCTAAACGGAAAAACTTTTGAAAAGTATTCTCACGGGCACACGCTCAAAAACCCGCGTACCTAACAAAACAAGCTACCAAACGAGCAATAAATGTGGGCAAACCGAAAGGGACTTCATCAAGAGCGCTTCTTTTAATAAAAGTAAACAACCAGATGAATAGAATTAATGGCAAGAAACGTCAATTTCCCAAGCATAATAGCAGGTGCCGGTTTAAAAACCCCGTCGGAAAACAAGACTAGAAGTTAAAAACTCCGTCACAAATTAAGAAGGACTTGTCCGGATACCACCTTCCTGACTGAGAAGCATAGAGTAGTTGCAGCGGGTGGTTAACGATGTTTAAACGCAGAAAAGTTCCCTCCCCCGGATGAAGATCTACCGAGCAGCAACAATAATAAAATATACAAAACATCTGCAAACTTTTGGAAAAACATGTTTCAAAACTTTCGACTCATCCAAACACGAGCCGCTTGACGTTACGTTTCCCTCGTTTGAGGAACAGATGTTAATTTACATAACCGAGCGACGTGTTTGTTTAAGTTTTCGGCACGCCAACTGCGGATCGTACGACTGGAATGGGGTGGAAAAAAACGCACCAAAGTTGTCGTATCCCAGACGAAGAGGCGGATGTTATCACTCGAGTGATATAGAGCCCGTTTATAGTCCCGAAAGTATTCGTGTATTGTTTTTTGTACACGTGTACGGTGTTCGCGCGTTGTATCAATTGTTACGAGCACACGCCAGTCGTTAATTATAAGCTCTAACGTGTCACTACTATCTTATCCCTTTCTAAACATTAGATTAAGATGTTAGCAATATCGCTAAACAACAGAAATTCTACTTACTTGTGTACTTCGTGCGGAGGTTGGGATTGTATGTATATATATATATATATATTATATACACTTTTTATTATTTACTTTTTTAATTGCGTATCGATCGGGGTGCAACTACATCCAGTGGCATCTGTGTAACTAGACACTTAACAGGAGAGCGAATATCCGACACCGCATAAACGAATTAATTCGGTTGTCATTGTCGGCGACTAAATTCCTCCTGGCGGTGATGGGGGAGTGGCAGGCTTTAAACACAGGAAGTTACCAAGTGCAGGCGCTTTTGTTATGTAACGACGGTCATCTGGACGCGATCACGTGACGGCAGAAGCCGGTTAAATCCATCCCGTCGTAGTCGTCATCAAACCGACGCACTCGCTAGAACGTAGTCCATCCCCGGGTGCTGCGCGGCTGGCAACACTGGCATCCGCCGAAAACACACAACTAAATCACAACTAGGTTGGTTAGAACGACGAAACAAGAAGAGGGGGGGTCGATCTCGGAAACGACGTCACACACTGACTAACGGCAGATTACATTCCACGCACTAAATACCAACGGGAACTAATCCTGGATGGATTTTTTGCGGGACGGCCGCTTCTCCCTCTCTGTCTCTCGCGCTCCTCTGTTTGGTCATCGATGTCACACAGGAAAAGTATGCAGGCACAACAGGTGCTTTAATGGAATAATGGGGCTCGCGAAGGACGCTGCACGCATTGCGATGCTCCGTCGACCGATTCGATATCTTTACGGCTCGCCCCCCCCTCCGATTCTGAATTAAAAACACGCATAAAACGTCGCAGAAACCATTGTTATCGTCGTCGCTAATTACACCTAACAACTACGTTTAAATGTAAATATAATAAAAACACGCCTAAGATACTCGGATGCTTGCGAAAATTTTCGTTTCTTACATACTTCCAATATCCGGCTCCGTAAATATTATAAAAAAAAAAAATGTAATGTGTTAAAGAGGATGTATGTGAACGTAATAAGGACGAACACACGCTTGTTATGGTAAATATTTTCACAAGAATTTCCAGTGGAAACCGCATTTTTCGCTTATCAAAAAGTCAAAAAAAAATTGTAAAATTCCATCCAGTTTTCTACAAGTTTTTATATTTTAAAATTCAATTTTCTGTCACCATTTTCTTTATATATATATTTAGGCCTATATAACGCTTCTATCTCACTTAATCTATTATTTATTTTGAGTTATAAATAGAATTAATCCGTTCTGAAATAATCCTTGAAAAGGAAAACATTAAATAGAGAGAGTGGGGGGAAAAAAGAAGAGAGAAAGTAATTATAATGTCAATCTTTCGACTCCCATTTGCAAAGGAAAACTTTTTAAAACAGTTTGCAGAGCTTTTCCAACGTCGAAGATTATTCGAAAGTAGCTAAACAGGGGCACATTTTTTTTTTCCTTTTAGATGTTGTAATCCCCTCGACAAACTGTCGTTTCACAACTTCATTTTTCTTTGCTGCGTTTTTACATAACGATTATTACTGTCACGGTAATATTTTATTATTTTCTCATTAATTTTACATATGCTGTAATTTTCTCCTTCCCTGTACAGACGGCGCACAAAGCCCACGAGTAACACGAGCTTAGAATATACACATAGACATACACACACACACACTCGTGTTTATAAACATATGCGACCGTAAGATACATACTACGGTGTATGTATTTGTGCGCAATGTAGCACACACACTACACGGCACGTATACATGAGCATAATGCATGACACAATATACATTTACACAATACAATGCACAGTAGTTTGCTAGCTTCTGACAAACAAAGACCTTTATCGCATCCGTCTGTCGAAACGCTAAACACTATTCAAGATCCCGTACATTCCTCTGTTATTAACGTATATTCAAATAACTTCTTTTGAACAGATCTTCCCCTTTGTAAACGCTATACATTATACAGTGTGTTAAAAAGCATTCATCATTTATATGATAGTACACACCATATTGGAAAAAAACTTAGTAAACTTAAGATAAATTCAACTGTTTCTGTGATAATAATCCGATAATGACCTGGAATTTTTGAGAAATTTCGAGATTCTAAGATGCCAAGAATTGGAAGGAAGTGTGAAACGTCTTCTGTAAATAACATGGTAAAGAATATGGAAAAATTATACAGTCGACCCCCCTATAATACTGTTGATTTTTCCGTTTTATATGAATTCCATGTTGTACGAGTCACTTAGATTTTACAAATACGTGTGCCGGGCTGAGAACGGCTCACGTATTTGTAAAATCTAAGTGACTCGTACAACANTGAAACGTCTGTAAATAACATGGTAAAGATCTGGCAAAATTAACTTATATTCTCTTTTCACATCACATGCAACACGTAGAAGCCAATAAGGTATTAACATACAAAACTGTTAGATAACTCAACAGTTTCTGCTGTTATCTATTTTAATATGACACTTTTACTCGGTATGTTGTGTACCTATGTAACACGTTCCCTTTGTATGGTACATACAGAAACACAACGACGACTAAGTTTATAACTAAATTATTTCTGTGTGAGGAATTATTTTCGAAACATTCGATTCCTTCGTCGATTAAATTCCGAATAATCGTACAACTTCGTGGATTCTTCGTAAATACCGATGCACTTTATACAGATTTGCTTGTAGATATCGCATTACATCCATCTATGGAGACGTAATAAACGTAACAACGGACGAAACGGAGCGTCACGTGATTCGAAAGAACAGAGACCGGATGTCGTTCGATTCTAGCTTTAGCAGTGTAAACATGTTTCTCTACGGAACATCTGCCCAATGATGTTTTCCTGTAATTGTGTTGTGTAATGTAAAAAAGAAAGCGACGACTAAAAAACAATCGATGAGATTTGAAGTCCTGTCCGTAATTTCCGTCTTAGAAAGTAAAAAGTGAAGTATTTCTGAGAAAGTAGAATAAACTTTAATGTATGGAATTGCATGCGAGTAGCATTAAGTGCATAACCACGTAAAACGGTATTGAAATGTATCGGGTTACATACTAAAGCAATGCTTTGAGCGCATCCGAGGTATGTTATATCACTCGCAATGTTTTATGGATTATGTGGCTCGTATCTTTCTATAATTTGGTTTTAAATCACGCAGATCGCTAACATAAATTTTACATTAAAAAGACGAACGATGCATGTTAAAAATTGATACGATTAGCGCTCGAATAATCAGCTGTTTGGTGTAAAGAATAAGCACACAACTTAAATCGAATTTATGTTTGCAAGTACGAAAACATAAATTCTATTTAAATAATGAAAATGTCAAAAGCTTCAAAAATATTGCAATGTGCATCACCCACGACTTCAAATGGATACTGTATACATAATAGGCACACTGTGTACAAAATACACGGATAAACAGAACACAACACCGTCACAGTGCAGCTACACACAGAAAAAACACAAGAGTTAAGATAAAAGCATACACACCACATAGATAAGATATAGCATACAGATAAGACACAAGCATATATTTCACGCAGACCGAGATACACAGGAATTCATAGCACAAGAAAGGACGAGCGTGGCATAAACACGTGGAATGGACACACACAACTGCGTATCTCACACGTTTTGCGAGACAGCACACACAGAATGCATAACACAAACAACATACAAAAGAAGAGCAAAAATACACGAAGTTCTGAATGATATATATACGGCACAAACATGGTACATAGCAATCTGTTGAGAAGTACGGGAGACAATGACCCGCTTCCCTACATCTGAGACCGACCCCGTCACTCCAGATGTATACCAACCGGGTTAGTGTGTGTGTCCGTCCTTGATCGGAAACGGTGAAACCGAAATCGGATGCATTTATAAGTATATCGCCCTCTTACACTAAAAATACCGTTACGATAACAATACCGTTAAAAATATCGGACGTGTTCGTTACAGAACTATTACACAATGAAAAACTGTGAACTCGGAAAGGAAATTTTTTAAGGAAATTTTTTTTATATTCAAATAGGTTTTTTTTTGATAGGACTGTTAATTAGATTTCTAAGTATCCGGATTAAACAGGTATAGCGAGTTCGACGCTATCCCGAAGGCAGTAGAGTTACCCGGATGTGTCGACGATGTCTGGCCATCCCCAATCCTATCCATACAATAGTGTACGCTGTACACGAATACAATACACAAATCTAACAAAATCGTAAAAGAATCGATCAATATCTCCACTAACGTACAATACTTCGCCTGTACAAAAAATTATCCATATCTACGTCACAAGGCCGACCGTTAAATGTACATTTCAACGAACGTTGTGACGTAAAACGACGTTTAAACGGAAAATAAGATCTCGTGGATTTTGTTTATTTGTTTTTATCACTCGTGAATTTGTGTGTATGTCAGTGAACCATCTGCGAGTAACAGAATCCAGGTTAGTAGCAATCTCGGTTGTTAGTAAGAAATACCCCCGGGGATAACGCTTGATAATATGTTTTACAAGTGAATTTTTTCTTCCTTTTTTTTTATAAATACGAGAACGTTACACGGGAAAATTCTTTGATGTGCGTGATTTTTCCCTCCGAATTTGAATTTTACATGATTAATGCGTCAACCGGTAAGAAGCCCCCCTGCTCTGTGCACTTCACATTAAACTGGTGACTACAAATTACTAAAAAAAACAAATTAATACAAAGTTTAAAATAAAACAATTTTTTATAAAAAAAAAAACATTCACGATTCCAAAATAGATAAAACGAAATTCCTAACACCTAAATGCCTTTACGATAAATATTTATATCACGTTTTAACAAACTTCAAAAAAGTTGCATATTTATACCAGGTTGGTATGCTTCTTGAATTTGTATAGAACTCACCATACATTCATACATATCAAACATACAATCTTATAAGGAATCTTGTTTACATTATTACATAAGTAATCATTTGTGAATTTTCTTCGTCAGTACAAACATAATAACTACCTTGTAAGTCCAAGTTTTATAATTGATAGAAACAATGTCTTCAAAACCGTTTAAGTACTTAATTATGCATAATAAAATGAATTTTTACGAATGGAATTGATGTAATACGCAATTCTTATGTAGTCGGTTATGGGCATAAACTCCTAAACAATGCATTGAAGTGGGAAGGATGAAATCTTCAACAGGTTTTACAACTTAACAGGAACTACAACATTCACGTTCTTATAGAAACCTCTAAATTTTCTAGGTATTATTTTAAAAAACCGCTAAACAAAAGTCACAGTTAATACAGATTAAAAAAATCCTTACACCAATGTTTTAGGAATTTCCTATTAAATCATATAGTATATGATTTAATAGGAATTTTACTAACTACAGTTAGGAATTATGAGAGTTTTGTTAGCTGCAGTTAGGGATTAGAATGAAAATACTCAAGTACACTGTCTTCAATTAAAAAACTACCATTTCTATCACATTCTTTACTCTCAATTAACACTTCCAAACCTGAAATTTTACAGACAAGTCGTAAATTAACCATAAAAATAATCTTAACAGATCTCGATCGAAATCCAAAACAACAGCTCCAAAGGTCTCCAACTTTAGAATCATTTAACGCAATCATCTCTTTGATCACCAACTAGTAAGGAAAAAGGGGTGACGACGTTCAAGTATTAATCACGTAATTAAGAGGCCACAATTTACAACGACATCAATCAAAAAAACAAAACAGAAAAAAAAATAACCTTTCTGGCTAACCCGTTCGTAGTATAAAGTTCAGGTAGAGTTATTATTGATACGTAAGATACCGAAGAGCCTTAACCTTAATGTAAGGGGGGAGAGAGAGAAAAGCTTCTAAAAACCAATTCCGAGCACTTATCTTTTTGTTTTTTTTTTTTTAAACAAAGAAAGCCTACATTTTACAGGATATACAGAGGATATCAAATGTTTTCCCATCGACAACGCCCCGACTTATCAAAATCTACGAGTGTGTTCATTCGGCGATCGGGACAAGCTACATACATATTCAAAATATGTTTGCATTTTACGATATAATCTGTTTATCTGCTCGTGTAGATCTGTATCTACTTCGGAACATGCTAAAATTTTACATTTTCGAGAGAATTTCTACAGAATTTCTATGAATCATATCGTTCCGGGTACGCCGATATCGAAAAGATTACAACTAAATCCAATTTTTACTTTACTCGAATCGATTTAATCTTCCAATACTTTACTCGGTGTGTTTATTTTTGAGAAATTTTACACACGTAATTCCGAATTTTAGCGAAATCTCCGATTTTATAAATAAAAGAAAAAAAAACCATTTCCGAGATTGAGGTGTAGTATTTTTCCGTTGAAAAACGACAACGCAGCAGATTTAGGGTTTACAGGAAACTGACTAAAGTCAATTTTCAGCAATTGGAACGAATAAAAGAATTTCTTTTTTTAATAAAATAATTCGATTTTCAGCCATCGACAAACTTTTCGGTCAAATTTTTGACTGGTTATTGATAATCTCGGCTCTTAAAAATCTGGTCAAGCGAGAAAGTTGTGTGGAATTTATCGCAGCATAAAGAAATTAAAGGAGACAAAACATAAAATTTGACCTAGTAAAGGTCGAAATTTTGTGGATTTTCAGCTACAGTACTCTAACTTGAGCTAAAACCTTTAATTTTAACATATTTTTTTTAAAAAGAAGAAGAAAAAAGACGCTTTCATTAGTCATACTTTTCAAGATGGAGGTGGAAGATGGTGAGTGATTTCACCCCGTATACATCACTACTGCATTTACGTACAGTACACACGATTAAATTCTACATTTTATATAGGGTTTCGGAATGGGGAATGATCCCATCCGCATCATCTCACTAAAACACTATTAAAATGCATTGTCATATAGAATTTTCCGCCTTCTATCTTGATTAAAAATAGGTAAAATTTGAATTGCAAGATCCGAGAACATAATACCAAGCAAGTTATATAAAAGAACTTAAAAAAAAAAGCTTGAAAATTAACGAAAGTATTCAACTTATTAACTTTCGATACTCGATTCAGGAAAAATTAATATAAAGGACACAAGAAACGAACCAATTTCAAGATAATATTGAGTAATAAAGTTCCAAGATTGGACAGAAACCAATAAATTTCGAATGAACGAGCAGCATAACATTTAATATAGAGCAAA